TCTCTAGCTAACCTCAGCTCATTCTCAGCTTTTGCTCTCCTAATGCCATCTCTGCATTTCCTTGCTACTCGTCTGTACGCTTCCTTGGTGGCCTGGCTTTCTTTCCACTTCCTGTACATATCTTTTTTGGTTTTTAGATCCTCCTTGAGCTTTGTGAAGCCACACTGGCCTTTTTTGCCACCTCCCCCCTTTTTTCCTTGTTGGAATTGTTTGTAGTTGTGCCTTTAGAATTTCTTTTTTTAGAAGCTCCCACCCTTCTTGGACTCCTTTGCTTGTTAGGATCTCCTGTCATGGGACCTTACTTATCCTTGTTCTGAGATTATTAAAATTGGCTTTTTAAAATCCAGCAGACTTGTGTGGCTACACTCTGCTTTCATTTCCTTTGAAATCAAGAATTCTAGAAGGGCATGGTCACTCTCACCTAGAGTTCCCCTTACTGCTACTTCCCCCACCAAGTCATCTTTGTTAGACAGAATCAAGTCAAGGATAGCAAACCCTCTAGTTTCTTTCTCTACTTTTTGTAGAAGAAAATTATCAGCCACACAAGCCTGGAATTTCTTGGAAGGGCCATACTTAGCAGAATTTGCCTCCCAACATATACCTGGATAATTGAAATCTCCCATCACTACTACATTGTGTCTCTTTGAAAACTCTGCAATTTGTTTTTCAAGTTTTGCCCACTTCCTCTCTTTGGGCGGTCAGTAATAGACTCCAACTACCAAGTTCCTTTTAGTTTTTGCCCCAACAAGATTGATCCAGATGCTCTCGATGCGACAGCCACTCTCCTCCTCCTGTATTTCTGTGCAAAAATATGTATTTTTCACATATACTGCAACTCCATCTCCCTTTTTATTCGTTTTGCCCACTTCCTCTCTTTGGGCGGTCAGTAATAGACTCCAACTACCAAGTTCCTTTTAGTTTTTGCCCCAACAAGATTGATCCAGATGCTCTCGATGCGACAGCCACTCTCCTCCTCCTGTATTTCTGTGCAAAAATATGTATTTTTCACATATACTGCAACTCCATCTCCCTTTTTATTCTCTCTGTTCTTTTTGGTCTATTTATGTCCCTCAGTTGCTGTAATCCAGTTGTGGGAGTCGTCCCACCAAGTTTCAGTTATTCCTATATAGTCATACTTACCCTCCTGAATTAAAATTTCTAGTTCTTCTTGTTTGTTTCCCATACTGCCGGCATTCATATACAGACACTGGAAGGTGTATGATTTGTGGCTTGTCTGTACATTTTTATGAATATTATGATTACTATTATTATATTTATTGTTATGTTTATTACTGTGATTATTGTTGATGTTATTATTGTTGCCCTTTTGATCAGTTTGATCCTTTCCTCTTATTGTGTGTAAGGCTTCATCTTACCTTAACTCTGTGCTTGCTTCTCACTTCCCCTTCCAATTCAATTTAAAGCCCTCCTGATGAAGTTCTTTATGATGTGGGCAAACACATTCTTCCCAGTCCTTGTTAGATGCAAGCCGTCTCTTGCTAGCAGTCCTTCTTATAGGAAGCTGAGCCTATGGTCCCCCAAACCAAATTCCTCTCATCAACTGCATTAAGACTTCATTAATTCAGCTTCTCTTTGCATTCATGTTCTAAAAACAAAAACTACAACACTGAGCACTGATGACCCACATGTGATTTCATCTTCCTTGTTGGATGCAATCCCTACACTTCAGATTAGAGTCTCTTGCATAATGAGTAGCATAAAATGAATAATCTGCACAAGGCAAATATAACACTTAGTGGCTAATAGGCCAAACCAACCATACAACCACACTGAAAGACAAGCATAAAACAATAGAATAGATGCATGAACCACTCAAAATTCAGATAAACAGGGCAGGCTTTATCTGAAGCATAAAGGCAGAATACTGTAGGAGATGGTGGGTGGATCTGTCTTGGGAAGGAGTTCCAGAATTGGGTCACAGCCATCAGAGAACTATTCTGTCAAAACAGAAAAATACAGTATAGTATAGATCACTTGTAATTAGAGCTGAAAGCATAATAATTTCGGAGACTGAGCCTTGGATATAACTAATTCCTGGCTGCTTTACTGCTTGCATTTTGGATGGCAGTTAAAACATTTGTTCATCAGTTTTCAGGCCCACCAAGATGATTTGGCAGCTGTGAGTTAGACTGTTTACTATTGTCAGTTTATATTGTTTTACTGGTTTCAGGGTAAGCTGCTTCTGATCTCCTCAGGAAAGAAAACTGGAGTACAACTTGGAAATAAATACATGTGGAATGCAATATAATATTTGAATATGAAGTGGAAATAAACACATACAAAATACAATATAACATATGGAGTATCCAAAACAGCGTTTCTTCTCACATATTTAAATAGGGATTTGTTTTTTTATTCCACTGATGTATGCTTGTTAATTGAATTAGCAGTAGAGATGAAGTTTGTTAACATATAAATGATGGAATTGCTTGAAAGAGAAATGAAAATACTATGTTTATTTTGATAGCCAGAATATACTGGAGGCCGAATTATTACAGGAGCCCCTTTACTGTTCAAATACTGTATAAATGAGAATTGCCTGGAGCAATTGCCTATTTTCCATAAATGCTTGTAAATCATCATATATGAGGATAGTGATGAAGGTGATAAAGGAGGAAGAGCTGCATCAGAATTCATTCCCCAAACACAAAAACACTTCTGAAAAACTGATTAGTAGCTAGAAAACTATTTAGATATCACTGTGCCATTCAATAAAAAGAAACTGGATTGATAACATGGCATTTAAAATTGAATCTGTGGATATTGGCATATATTTTTATGTTGATTTAGAGATGTGTGTTTTAAGTCTGCAATCGAGGTGGAAATTTGGTATTTATCTGCTTAAAGAGTGGTTTCCCAGGTCACTATGGATGGCATCATCCATTATATTTCCTTTGTGAATGAAAGTTCCTTCTACTAATGGAGTGAAAACAATAGATACCACCCAATATTTTAATGGAGATGAGGGTGGATTACTATATGTATGATTCTATAAAGTGAGCATGCATTCCTTTTGTCTTGCTGTCTGATCAACTAGGTTTTGCAGGGTTCTAAAGCACTAGTAAAACATGCTAATCCGGCAGGATAAAAATGCCCCTGTGATGGTACTTGGTCAGGGCCCTTTCTATAGCCACTCCACTTTACTGTACTACTCTTGTTTCTCCTCAGCTAAGTGAGCTGAGGAAAGAGTCAGTGATGGTGATTACTGTGGAGCCTGAAAGAGATTATATTACTTCAAAACACTCTAATTTAGTCACATTTCACGATATCTGCAGGGAGTTCAAAACAAATTGAATTAGTAGTAGAGATGAAGGCCAGGCACTGAGAAGCATGGTGTCTTCCTCGCAAGGAGTGCCACCACACCCACACAAAGACTAAAACATTCTGGTAGCTTGGTGAAGGTAACACCTAGTTTTAATACTGCAAACCTTCTCAGGCAAACATCTGGACAGTTGCTTTAAAGATTTTTTTGTATTTTATTAAAAGAGAAGAGGTTAAAAGGACAACACCTCTTACTTCTGACAGCTGTGTCTAAATACAAATTAAATGATCATCACATGCCTAAAAAGCAATTATTTCTTACAATTTAGACAGGGTGCCAATAATTTTGGCCAGTGCATTTTTAAGTTCTGTGTGGGATTGTATCAGATTTGACTTTTCTTCTCAGCTTTTTTGTATTGTTCCAAAGCAAACCAAAGAAATGAACATACAAGTACCAAAACATTTGGAGCTGCAACAATTTTCTGAGAGAAGGGTTGCATTTTTTGACAGAATTGCAAGGGTGCCAATATTTTTGGCCACGACTGTACAAAACTAGATTATGGTTCCAGTGTTTCTAAACAAGCCAGGCTCATAGGTCTGAGTAAGGGCTTAACCAGAGATTGGTTTTGGTATACACATTCTGGCTTGTATGGAAGCAAAATTCTAGGAGGTGAGTTTGATTCATGTATGATACTTTCCATTTCTGGTTTGTTTAACCTGTTCTTGTGAAGAGATAAGTGAAGCAGAAGCAAAGAAGCTGTGTGGATCACTATATTGCTTATTCACAACTAGCATGGTAAGCTAGTTGCTCTGGCTCAGTGTAATATATACCCATGTCTCATTCAGTATTTTGCAAGGATGGTGGTGGAATAATTGTCTGCCTCTAGCCTTAAAAGTTCATTTCAGTTTGAGTTGACTTGTGGTCTGGGTGGGGCTCATCTCAACATTTTGGAGTGAGCTTCCTTCCTGTTTTGTTTTTCAAAACATGATCATCTATTTCTGTGATGAATGTGTAGCAATCAATGATCAAGAAGTAAAAGAAAGATGTGGCCAATGGCTCTTTACAGCATATGACAGTTGTCTGGTTTGCAGACAGCAGCGAGTAACTTATCTACACATTTCCTGATGGATTTGAAAAATGGCTGCTTCTGTAACCACTAGCTTCTTCACTCAAAAACCTGTAATTTGCAGAGCTAGCAACATAGTTCTAGTTCACACAAAGGTCAGGTAACGTAGTAATGGACTGATTCAGGAGCTTCTGAATGTGTCCTATTGTTTACAGCATTATACAATTTCTCCCGCACTGGAAAAGCATGTTTCTAATTAGACAAACTACAGTGAAAAGAAGATACAGAGGAGAGTGAAGCTGCCCATGGTTTTGTTTTGCTGCATTCCAGGGTCCAGATTCCTGAAAGACATGGGATGTTGAACAGGTTTTTGGCATATTATCATAAGCCACTTGTCACCAGAGTTGCTCAGTTTTTCTGCAAAGGGCAGGGGGACAAGGCTTTCAAATATGATACAGTGCCTTCACCCAAATCCCCTAAACTTTGAGGTACACAGGCTGCTCTATAAGATTGCACAACTTTTATTTACCTTTCACTCAGAAAACAAATATGTGAAAGACAAGAGGAAAAATGATACATTTAAACAAAGTGAGAAAAATACAAGGAGCAGAGGAGAAGGAGCATTAACCTATTTATTTATTTATTTATTTATTTATTTATTTATTTATTTATTTATTTATTTATTTATTTGAAAACAAAGCACATTGTGGAACCTTGGTTTACATGTAATTCTCCATGTTTTGACAGAAAGGTGGAGTTTGCACCCAAATGGAGCTGTAGGCAGTGTTAACTGAGAAGATATTAGGTAGGTTGTGACATTAAAAGTGAGGACAGAGAAACCTATACTTCTGTCATCTTTTTTAAAAAAATACTTCCCTAACCGATGCAGTGAAATTCTAATACTATGCTGGGCTGATGCACTGCTGTTTCAATGTGCCACTTTGTTTATTTAACAAAAATAAAAGTCACTGCAGCCCACTCCACCCCATCAGGTAGCAAAGCTCCAGCAGAGCCCTGGCTGAAGAGAACAGCAAGTAAAAGGGAGAGTTTATCTCCCTTCCATCTCCCCAGCCTTCTCTCCAATGTTTTGCCCTCATGCCACCACTGCATTCCACTGTTACTGTTGCTGATGCCTTACTCATGAGTAAACTGGTGATATACAGTTCTTGCTGGACCCTTCTCATGGGAGAATAAACATCTCCAGTGTGAATGGAAGGATTGCTCAAGTGAAAGATAAAATAGATCTGAAGATAATAACTTTTTAAGAGGGAAGCAGCATGCTTCAAATTCCCATATGGACAGGCCCTAAGCTCATAGGTGGTCTGCTTCGACGGCTTATAGTGCAGGGAGGAGCGACTTAGGTTGGTCCAGGGCCAGTTTTCTACACCTGAATTTTTCTGTGAGGCACACAGATCACCAAAATAATAATAATAGATAAAAGCAGGAGGAAGCACTGGGGTGTTTTTTTTGGGGGGGGGGCAGTATTTATTAGTGTTAAGCAGAAGGGCCTGCAGCCTACTTAAGGAGTGCTGGAAATCTTGGAGGCTTGCAGTACCAGCAATTTGCCTTGCGGGGAGCTAGGGGGGAACAATTTTTGGCAGGGAGGGACAAGGGAATCTGGAAAGACTGAGTGCTGGGCAAACAGCTGTAGTGATCACCCTGCCTTTGCTCATGTATGAGGTTATTTGTATGCACCAACTGGAGTTTTTGGGAGGCGGAGCCAGAGAAACTAGAAGGGAGGGGTGAGGCAGATAAGTCAGTCAGTTAGATAGTGAGAAAGTCTGAAGTGAGAAGCCAGTTAGAGAGTCAGGGGTTGAGGGAGGCAGTTGAGAGCGTGGAACTTAGAGAGAGTTAAATGTGGATTAAGTTATTATGAATGTACTGAATACTTTAAAGCAGGGGTCCCCAACCCGCAGCCCAGTGCCAGTCCATGGGCTTCCTTGAACTGGGACGCAGACATGGATCTCCCCCCCCCGCACACACAGGGTGTGTGTCGCACTTGCGGAGGGGCATGACACGGATCTCCGCCCCCCCTGCACACACGGGGGGGTCGCACTTGCGGAGGGGCATGTCATGCTCGCAGGTGGGTGTTTCAAGGGGAAAGAATGCTTTCCCTATCTAACATCACCCCCAAGCACCAGGTTGGATTGACACAACTGGCTGTGCAACACAGCCCTTTCCGTGGAGAAGACAGACACATGTGTGCCTGCATGTGTGAACCCTCAGCCCGTCCTGTCCGGAAAAGGGAGAGGGTAGGAGGGAAGGAGGGAGGTTGATTTGGGATGTGATTCCCCCACAAGGGTGGGAGGTGTCCCCACATGGGCCTAGCAAGGCAGGAGGAGGAAGGGGGGAGAAAGGTCTTCCGAATGGGCCACTCCTGCCGCAACCCAAGGTCACAGCTGCCTTGGGTGTGGCAGGGCGTTGGAAGAGCATCCCTTGGCAGGCCAGGACGGCGGGAAAAGGACTGCCCTGTTGCCGATCCCTGCAAACTGGAGCCCGGGAGGCATCCGGGGCAAGAGTGAGCTAGAGGAAGGGTGGTGGTGCCTTTGCCTTTGCACCAAGTCAGCATTTTCTCTCCCACCTCATCCCGATCATCTCCGCAAAGCAGG